CCCCCCCCCCCCCCCGATCGAGCCCGCAACCCGGGCATGTGCCCTTGACCGGAATCGAACCTGGGACCCTTCAGACTGATGCTCTATCGACTGAACCAAACCGGCTAGGGCCACTCATATAATATTTAATGACAACCATCAATAACTGCAGCACCACATCTGCTACCCAGAAAGGAGAGAATACAGTCCCTGAGGCACAGACTTTTCCTATGTCCTTAAAAATACAAAACCAACAAAATATATAGCCGATGAAGACCTCAGAAAACACTTTTCCAAAAAGGCGTGAGGGTATATGCCCTCTCAAAGGAGGTAGTGTGGACAAATTTGTTTTGGGGAAACTAAGCAAAATGAAAATGGCCCCTCTCCTGCAGGATTTCTCAATTTTAGTGTTCCTTGAACTAAAGGGTATGTGGCATTCCCTCAGCTGCCTCCCTCAGAACCAAGCCCGGGCTGCCCACCAGCTCACAGAGCCTGGATCTGCAGGAGTCCATAAAATGTTGTCATTAATTCAACCTGGCAATGACTGCCTCCTCAGACACAATCTCAAAGGATGACTGCTGGCAAGGGTACATTCCTAGGCCCTGGGCATGTGGCCTGTCTAGCTCGTCCCAGACTAACCCCCTGAACTTGTCTTCAAGGCCTCCTTTTCTCTGACTTCCCAGTGAGCCAAAGCAACCTAGCCTAGGCTCTCCTGTTGCTTCTTCTATGCTCTTCCTTATTTCACTGTCCTAAATGTATTTTTGCTGCAGGTAATAAATTCTTGCTTGCTGTTCTACAAAAATAATAAAAATAAAAATAGAAAAGCATTATTTTTACTAAGTGATCTTGCTAAGTAAATTCTTTATTTTTAAAATATATTTTTTATTGATTTTTTACAGAGAGGAAGGGAGAGGGATAGAGAGTTAGAAACATCAATGAGAGAGAAACATCGATCAGCTGCCTCTTGCACACCCTCTACTGGGGATGTGACCACAACCACGGTACATGCCTTTGACCGGAATCGAACCCGGGACCCTTGAGTCCGCAGGCCGACGCTCTATCCACTGGGCCAAACCGGTCAGGCAAAATTCTTTATTTTTAAATACATTTTTTATTGATTTCAGAGAAGAAGGGTGAGGGAGAGAGAGAAACATCAATGATGAGAGAGAATCACTGATTGGCTGCCTCCTGCAGACTCCTCACTGAGGCATGTGCCCTGATCAGGAATCAAACCATGACCTTCTGGTTCATAGGTCAGTACTCAACCACTGAGCCATGCCGCCAGACAGTAAATTCTTTCTAATTCCAAAAGCAAGTAAAAAACCAAACCAAAACAAACAAACAAAAAAACAAGAAAAAAGTAGTAATTTTCCCATTCTCTACCATCTCAGAATACTTCCTCAGGAGGCCTTGACCGGGCAGCTTTCCCATGGGTACTACAACCAAGTACCTAGCTCCACATGACCAGAGCCAACCACAGTAACTATGTTCCATGTGACAACTATTCAGAGTTTTTCTATCCCTACAACTCAGCATCAGGTCTGACAGCTGATGTCTCTGAATTGAAATCAGTGGTTCTCACATTTCATTGGGCACCAGAATCACTTAGGGGGTTTGCTAAAAACAGCCGTTTGGGTTCCACCCTCTCTAGAACTTCTGATAGGGCAACTCTGAGAGAATGCATTTCCAACAAGCTCCCAGATGCTGCTGCTATTGGTCCAGATACTACTCGCGGAGAGCCACAGCTTTCAGGCCTTTTACCACCTTTCCCCACTTGGGCTGTAACCTTGATCACAGGGCCTGCTGTGTCACTGGGTACATTCTGTTTTAACAGCCCCCTTATTCCCGACCATGGCAGCCACTTCTTGCAGTTGCTACCTCTTTCTGCTTCTGGTCACCTAGAAGCATGTCTTTATGTTAAATGCTCTCCATTGAAATAGCCAGGTGGTTTCTGTTGGTGAACGCTAGCTAACACAGCCCTTTTACTGGCTGCCATCAGAAACAGCTGGGGCACTTTCCTACCTGACACACTTTAGGACCCTGATCCCAGATGTCTGGCCCAGGTCTGGGTGTGGGGACTGGCACGTGCATGTCACAGCAAATGTTGAACAAACAAACAAACAAAACACAAGTAAAAACCTGGCTCTAAAGGCCCGTTTCCAGAAGCTTCAGGGTCTGAGAGTCCTGCAGCATCAACCTTTCCTGTCAGAGAAGGCAGGTAGCAAACACAGGGCAGGGTTAGAGCACAGCGGCTTGCGCAGCCGAGGCCACTACAGAACCAGACGTGCCAGACTGCTCCCCATCAGGCACATTTCCTGGGCCCATGCTCTAGCCGGGACGGGAAACAGTGTTAAGGATGGACCATGTGGTTCTAAAGCCTCTTCTCTCACCACTCACAAGCACCACACTCAGAGCAGATCTGTAGAACTGGCTCCTGTAACTCCCACGAACACCCCCCAGACAAGGGCAGTGTCAACACCTTTACTTATACTAGAAAAAGGTGAGGCCTTAAGACATGTGGCAATATGCCCCAGGCAGCAAATGCAATTCTCAGACACTCCTGTCTGTAACTAACACTTTCCCCCCACACAATTAGGAAGCAAAATCTTAACTACTTTTTAAACCAGCGGTCACCACCTTTCAGACCTCATGGACCACCAGTTGGCAACCACTGCACCAAAGGTTTCCTTAAACCAGCGGTCGCCAACCTTTCGGACCTCACGGACTACCAGTTGGCGAACGCTGCTTTAAACCTCTACCCCAGTGGTCGGCAAACTGCGGCTCGCGAGCCACATGCGGCTCTTTGGTCCCTTGAGTGTGGCTCTTCCACAAAATACCGACTTCTGCGCATGGGCCACGAAGTTTCAATCACACTGTACGTGCGTGCCTGCATGTGGTACTTTGTGGAAGAGCCACACTCAAGGGGCCGAAGAGCCGCTTGTGGCTCACGAGTCACAGTTTGCCGACCGCAGCTCTACCCCTTCTACCCGTGAGCTATTAGCTACCACAACAGGCGTGGACACTAGAGCATCCTCCCCTCTCCTGTATGCACCTAGAAAGCCCAAGGGAGCATAACCGGGGACAGAGGGCCTTGAGACAGCCTAGTGCAGCGGTTCTCCACCTGTGGGTCGCGACCCCTTTGGCGGTCGAACGACCCTTTCACAGGGGTTGCCTAAGACCATCCTGTATATCAGATATTTACATTACGATTCATAACAGTAGCAAAATTACAGTTATGAAGTAGCAACGAAATTAATTTTATAGTTGGGTCACAACATGAGGAACTGTATTTTAAGGGCCAGAAGGTTGAGAACCACTGGCCTAGGGGGTCCAGGTCAACATGACTGAATCTGGCAACACTAGCACTGTATGTGTTCCTTTTTTCTGCACCTTTTACTGTCATTTCTGCCCAAAGTCAGCAACTATGACTTTCCAGTAGCAAACGTAAATGAATAAAGTGTTGTTAGAAGACTAAGATGGGTGTTAAAGTCAGTTCAGATCACTGGCTGCTCAGGAGAAACCTGGCCTGTTTTTGTTCCCTTAGAGGTGAGCGCAACAAACCTGGGCTTTACCTGGAAGCAGCAGCACTGGGGAAAAGTGCTGTACTTATCATGTTACACAATTTCTAAAGATTTGACAATTTTCAATCACATGTACTTCCTTTGTAATTATTTTTTAAAAGACCAGTAATAAAATATCTGGTAGAACAAACAACAAAGACAGCATTTACAACGAAAAAGTCACACCTCCCACGCTCCTGGATTTTAGTGACAAATTTCATAGGTTTTCCTGGTTCCTGCCTGGGTAACTTGGGGAGACGTGAGGAAAAGACCTATGGGACTTTAAGAACGGCTGTTAATAACTCTCAGAACTTGAAGGAGCCCAAATGGGCATGAGCCCTCCCAGTCACATGGCCCTGACACAAAACTAAAACATTTCCTTCATGGAAGCAAAATACTGAGGAAAGTCAATTGCAAAACATCTGAAATTATCTCAGGGATGGCATTCTCAGTCCAGGGAGAGTGGATAGGCACTTGCCCCCACAGGCCTTGGGGAACCTACATGTTGCTGCTCTCCAGGACCCAAGCCCCACACAGTTGGGGACAACTTAATTCTCTTTCAAAGGGGAATGAAAGGCAAACCATTCTTACGCTGTGTCTCTGACATCTCTTGTAATCCGATAATTCCAATCTCGGAAAACTTCATTTTCTTTGTCAAACTCCCGTTCATCCTCACCAATGGTCACAGTAAACCTTTTCTCTTCAAAATCAGGCTCCTGTTCTTTTCGAATGGTTGCTTTTTTTAAAACCTACCGTTGTGAGAAGAAGCCAACACCAGTTACTGTTAGGAAAAACAAAGGGAAACCTGTCTCGATGTGACCCACGGAGGCCTGGCCAGTGCCGCTTGAGCAGCATGGCTGAGTGCTCAGTGGGCAAGGTGTGCCTCAGCTCTATCCCCGGGCAGACGAAGGATCCCATGTACCTTTCTGCAGGACTGGAGTGCCCTGTCCCTGCACAGAGCTGCATCTGGCAGTCAGGACAGGCCCACTAAGCAGTACCATAGAGCTTACTCATATCTTGGGAAGGGTGATGAAGATGGTTGCTTCCTAATAGTCCTGGCGTTGAACCAGGGAGCCCCAGATATTCATCAATGATGAGGACTGAGTGTGGAGAGGAACGTAAGTCTGCTCATGGCAGAAAAGGCACAAGGAGACATTCAAGTCTCAGAGGAAAGGAGGGGCAGTGAAGTATGTGCTATGGGAGGGAGAATGGTTTTGGTTTAGTCTGTCATTTCACTGAAGAGAAACCAACTTAAGGGGCTCAGAAAGCAGCCTGAATATTCAGGGCCAAAGTGTGACCTGGATTAAAGGTGTGGGAAGAGGGGAGGCCCAAGTTGATACCCTGGCTTGAGAGAGAGGATGGTTTCTCCAGAAGACTGCCTATTTGGCGGTAGCAGTATGTGATGACTCTGAGTGATCAGAGCTATAGCACCAGCTGGTGTTGTCCAATGCTGCCAAGCCACATAAAGACAGGAGACTGTGCTCTAGGCTGGGACTCCCTGGCCTCCTGGGCTTGGTCACGACCTGGCATGCCTCAGACAGATAGTTAGAAATCATTTTCCATTCTCTAGCTCTTCAAAGAAGTCATAGAAATATACCTTTCACTTCAGAGACTCTACTGCGTTTTTGATCACTGTCTCTGGATCAAGGAAATGCTATTTTGCCCACAGACACCACTAGTATTTTTCTTCTCAGGTTTTCTGCCAAATTCTGTTACCTCCTTTGCATGCCGAAGTCCTCGTTCCCAGGCACTCTCTGTGGGGGGTTCTGGAGGGGGTGGAGGCAAAATTTCATCAACTACTGGCCCACCCTATTAAAAAATGAGAAGGAAAAGTTGAGAAAGCAAGCAAAACTTTAAAATCTATAAAGAAATGAGAGCAAAACACCTGGAAGCATCTGGAAGGCAGCTCTGTGACTGACATCACAAAAATGCCTTTTACCCAAGGTGTAGTAATGTGCCTTAAGCTGGGGGCGGGGGTCACAAACAACTTAGATATCGGTTTGCTAGCAATTAAAAAAAAGAGGTGTTGCCCTGGCCAGTTTTACTCAGTGGTTACAACTTCGGCCTGCTGACCAAAGGGTCACAGGTTCGAATCCTGGTCAAAGGCATGTGCCTCAGTTGCAGGTTTCCCAGCCCCAGTAGGGGTGTGTGCAGGAGGCAACCAACAGATGTTTCTCTCTCTCCCTCCCCCCTCCTCCCTCCCTTCCACTCTCTCTAGAATTCAATGGAAAAAAGATCCTCAGATGAGGATTGAAAATTAAAAAAAAAAAAGTGTTCACGCACCCAAGGGTTGGCAGGCATCAGTGGGTGAGGTCCGAGAGGTGGGGCACCGTTAGGCGGGAAAGGTTCGGCTTTGGTGATGAGGGAGTAGTTGCCCTTGTCGTTGACTCCAGGGTGTATAAACCTACAATTCATTCCCCAGGTACAGTTCCCTAAGGAAACAAAAGTTAGGTCAGAATGTGTCTACAAGAGCCCATGTGCATGAGGCCAGCTTCCTGTCTGCTTTGCTTAGGTTTTCCCGAGGGCCTGTGACATGCCAGACAGTTTGCTGAGCACACTCATAGGTTATTGGTGTCACCCTCCACCCTGTAAGGTGCATGAACCTGATACAGACAGGCCAGAGCCCATCACCTGCAGTGCAAGTGTGTGTGCCTGAGCCGCTCACCCCATTTGCATACACACCCAGGTCCTTGGCAGGCAGGCTTGAATAGTCACAGACCAGACCCTCAGCTGGGGAGTAAGCAGTAGTTCCTAAAGAGCTTCTGAAGGGGACTGGTCATGTATTAGAGGAAACAGCCCCTGTTCCAAGGTCATCATATGAATAGTTAATTTTCCCCCCAAAACAGAAAAGTCCAAGAGCTTTCCAGACAGTTAGAGGTGGCCCCTGCTCTGTGGATTTACTGCTCAGAGACACTACACCCCCAGTGAGGGTCACAGGTGCATATAAAGAACCAAGATTCTGATTCAAACCCACTCATACTGAAACAGAAACCGAGAAGCATAAAAATGAACAGAATTCTCCAAGCTTGTCTCCTGGTGGTCTTTATCAGTTCTGTAAATTTGCATTTTTCCTATCAAAAGCCTCACAAACCATTTCATTATATTTCTGGTACTTAAAACACATAAACAATGATAATATATTAGGTGTTTATACTTCACACAAAAAAGTCATCTTTTAATATTATTCAGTGATGAGAAAATCAGGATTATTCAAGGAAACCACTTACCTTTCAGCACAGGAGGGAAGAAGTCAAAGTTTTAAATCTAACCAGTGAGTATATCACTTTCAAAAATTTAATTTTTTTCAAGTAGGTAACATGTACACAGGCTTAAAAATATGGCACACAATATCTTAGTTTTAAAAAAACATTTTCAATGGGTTAACATGTAGTTAAATTTTAAAGTATTTAAAATGCAATGTAAATTAAAGAGAAATAATAATTTGGTATTTGGGAAAAAGCTAAATTTTACCGTTTAAACATTATGAATTCATAATCTTGTATTAAAGCCAACTTAATATACTGATCTAAATTAAATATGAAATAACGCATGCTTAAAATTGCTTCTCTAGGAATGCAAAAATGACAGATTAATTTTTAAAATTCCTAAAAGTGTTTGAGAAATCACATTTAAGTCAGAGGGGAGATACTGTACTACAGGGGGTTCAAAATTCCCAAGTCTCAGGAGGGTTAAAGAAAAAGCCGATGCAGTCACATATCTAAATTAAAAAATCTCAAAACACTATCAAATTCATCATTTGACTCTTACAAAACTCATATTGCATTTCATATTGAAGTTAAAAAAGTAAAAGCTCACTGTAGAAAATTTGCAAGTACATAAAAGTATGAATATAAACAACTTTCCCGTAATTTTTAAACCTAATATATATCTGGATGATAGATAAATGGGTATTTGTTATATTGCTCTTTTATAATTTCAAAACATAACACTACCCACAAGCTAGCACACTGACAAAAAGGATATTGTATCACTCATATTGGAAAGGGGAGAAAAGAGGAACAAGATAGATTAGAAGAAACACATGAGGAAAGTAAGGGGCAAGAGCAGGGACATGTGCCCCTCTGAGACACTGGTGAGTGACAGAAGCCCAACCCCTTAAAGCCCCATTCCTAGGTTTGCTAAGATCCTTGTTGAGTGTATGTCTGGACCCCTGGCCACCAAAGAGAAGCCAAAAAGAAAGCAGTCGGAATAGTGCAACCCCATTAGCCCTTTTAAAGTAAAATTTTGTGTAAAAAATGTATGGAAGTATACACCCCAAACTATTGGGACTGTGGAAGGAGAAAGACTTTTATTATTTTACTAGAGGCCCAATGCACAAAATTCGTAAGTGGCTTGGTCCCCGTCACTCTCAGCCCCCACGTACCGAGGCCTCGCCCCCACCTGTGGCAGCGGCCACCTCTGCCTCTGCCCTTGCAGCTCCCGCTTCGTCCATCTGAAAGGTCATCGGGGAGGACCTCCGGTCTAATTAGCATATTATGCTTTTATTATATAGGATTGTCTTGACTTTCATTAGCATATATTACTTTCGTAATTTAAAAAAGCTATTGGGAAAAACAAAAACAAAACAAAAGCTACTGGGGGAAAAAATTCTTCAAGAAATGGAAGCAAAATTCGATCTTCTGGTTTTAAAATCGTACAGTGGCCTGCTTCTGAATGAAACTTCACAAACACAGAAGTTATGTGGATTATGATTCTGACTGGATGAATGAATAGGCTCACAATTATATAAGGATACGAATATGAGCCAGAAGAGAACAGAAGAAATGGAAACAGCTGGCAGGCAGGTCAGAGGGACAAGTTTCTTTTTTTAAAAAAAAATTTTTTTTCATTGATTTCAGAGAGGTAGGGAGAGAGATAGAGAGATAGAAACATCAATGAAAAGAGAGAATCACTGATTGGCTGTCTCCTGCACGCCCCCTGCTGGAGGACGGGGGGAGGGGGGTGATAAGCCTGCAACCCGGGCATGTGCCCTTAGCCAGAATTGAACCTGGGACCCTTTAGTCCGCAGGCTGATGCTCTATCCACTGAGCCAAACTGGCTACGGTCAAGTTTCATCTTGAAACAGGGTTTCAAAGGCATTGATAGTGTTCTATTTCTTAACTGGATGGTGGGCACATTAGTAATTGTTTTACTCATTTATTATTTTCTATGCCTGTATAATAAACATTATAGTATATTTTATATGAAATATTTCATAATTCAATGAAATAAAAGGAATTCATTTAAACAAAAAATTTCTCTAAAAGGTATTCAGTGAAATCTCTATGCCTCCAGGCCCTCCACAGAGGCAATTATCAATTTATTGAGGAATCAATCAATCAATCAAATCAGTGTAGCCATCCCTATTTTCTCCTGGTTATATTACACACTTTGTGTTGAACCCTGCTTTTCTTTTTTTTTACTATATATCTACAAAAAAAGGAACCTGCAGGCTCAATAGCAATAAACCCAAACTCTTATCAGTGAAACAGACAATATATGCAGGAAACCTAATGGGCCGCATTAGAAATCAAGGAAACTAGCTTGACACAGGACAGGAAATGAATTCCGCATCTCCCATGTCAGCAACCCACTGGTCACAACTCACACACTACACTAGCCCAAGGAATCCATCCCTCCCATGGTGTGAAATGTCAGAAGCAGTAAGCACGCTGTGTCTATGGGCATGTTTGAGCATGTGTGTGTGGGAGGTCCAGAAACACTGCCAGATTTTAAAATTGCTGATTGTTGGTTCCACTGATCAGCACAGTGTAGTGCTGACTCCTGTTTTGGGCTGTGCTGTCACTGTATATGCATGTATCCTACTAGAACAGTTGAAATAATTTTACAGTATCTATTTCCATACAAAGTACTGCTAGAATTTTAAACAAAAACTTATTTCTAAATAGGATATAGTGGTCTTATTTAAATATTCCTCACTCCAATTTCCTGTTAGTCTAAATAACTCGGAATAGACAATATATAATCAGATTGCGAAAATAAAGCAGTTTAAAGTACTTAAGTCTAATAATTAAACACTAAGAACACACCTAAGCTCTACAAATGCGTATTCTAACAGGCACAAATCCAAAGAACCACTGCATAAAAGATTGCAATGATATAACCCCAAGAACACCTGTATCCCTTCCTTTCCCCTGTCACAGAGAACTGTCAGAAGTAGGTAGACATCACAAGTCACATCCAGCAGTATTCTGAGATATTTTAACTTTTTTAAGAAATAAATTCATTATGGTAGCTAAAAAAATTAAAAATAATTTCTGGACTGCTTCTTTATAAATAACAGTCTTAAAACCAACAGTCCTCTAACTTTTTAGTCTTAGGACCCCAAAGAGCCTTTGTTTGAATGGATTAAACTGATATTTTAACTGTACAGGTTAAATTGATATTTACTGTAATTAAAAACAAAAAAATTTAAAGACCTAATATATAATACTAGAGGCCTGGTGCACATTTACGGGGGAGTGGGCCTAAGTTGGCAGGTGGACATCTCCTGAGGGTTCCTTAGTGCTGCTGCAGAGGTGGCAGAGGCTCCTGCCACTACTGCTGTACTGAGTGGCACTCCCCGTGACAGTGTGCTGACCACCAGGGGGCAGCTCCTGTGTTGAGCGCCTGCCCCGTGGTGGTCAATGGTGGTCAATGCGCATCATAGCAACTGTTTGTTCCACCATTCGGTCGATTTGCATATTAGCCTTTTATTATATAGGATGTTTTATGAAGAGCAGAAAATACTTAGTGATATGAGTAGCATTATTTTCCTTTTTGCAAATCTCTTTAATGCTGACACAGAATAGAAGATAGCTGGGTTCTCACGTCTGCTTTTGCATTCAATTTGCTGTGCCAGGTTGTTTTGATTGAAAATCCAGCTGCAGGCAGAGATGTAGCTGGTCAAGGAAGGTGCATTTTAATAGCTTTTTCATGTACTCTTAGATGTTCTTTGAAGCTACACCAAACTCAACAAGTGAATGCTTCTTTAGTTAGCCACAAAGTGGATCTGTAACCTTATCACTAAACTTTTATGACTGTGTTTCACTGCAGTCCACTAGTCTATCTTGAATTGTGAATGGATCTTCTACCTAGGTATGATTTTGTAACAACACTCAGTGGATGTCTGGAAAAGTTCATAGAAAATAAGAAAGCTGTCAAGCTCACAGGGGAGATTTTGGCTCTCCACAATTCTAATTTTCACTTGAGAGCTCGAATTTTACCATTAGCAACAGTTATTGTCAGCTGTTCTCCTTGAAGCAGCAGTCTCATTGGCGAGTCTTTGAGAAGACTTGGTTCTGCACCACCTTGGTATGTCGCGGTCCTTCCTGCAAGTGAACACGCGC